AGTTGAGTCTATCTATAAAGCAGAAAAAAACGCCGATTGCCAACTGCTGTCTCTCTGGATGTTTGTTTCCAAATATTTTCACACATTTTTCATCGTCAGTCTAAAAAGAGACAAGACACTGTCAGACGACAACGCTCTGTCAACCAGCGAGCCAGCCAGCCTGCCATTGAAGACGGCACCACTAGGGTCCAACCACTCTATCATCCATAGAGTGACCAATATGTAAAAACAATGAAGCCTCTATTGTCTCAAAGATTTCCCAAACAATAGAAATCTTTAAGAATTTAATAATGAATAACCAAGTAGCAAAAAATTTACTAAAAGTAGAAACAGAACTCCTGCTGTTTTATTTTTCTATGTGGGATTTTTTTCTCTTTGGATTGTCCCTCAAAAGGTTTTTTGTTTGCAAATTTGAATTGTATAGCCAGCCGTCCCCTCGACAAACTGATCTTGTAATGAATTTTGTGTTTCGTTTTTGTCTTCTTCTCCAATATGTTAATTTTTAAATGCCGTCCATTATTTTGTATTTAGAAATTGTTTCTTTTTTTTTAATATTAAAAGTAGAGTTAAGTTTTATAACCAAATGTGTGCCTTGTATTTAACAAACATCAATACTTCTATATGTATGTCCTGATATGGGAAATGTGGTCTGTACCTTAATTGCAACAAAAACAAAATAGCTCCCATATTGCATTTAGAACTTTGTTATTTTAACCAATGAATTTTATTTTTTTGTTCCGTGTCTTTATGTTTTGTATATTAATTTTGAATTTAGACATAATACAGACATATATATAAAATTAATATAAATCACAAATTTTTATATACAAAACATATTTTTTACATATGTAATAAGAACAACATATCGCAATAAAAAATATTTTTAAATAAAAATAAAAAAAAAATAGTTGCTTTAATATATTAAATTAATATCGAAGGGTTTTTTAAAAATATTTCTAGAAGAACTATCCAAGCCATTGGCGTGGATTTTTTAAAGAACATTTTTTAAGGTCTATCCAAGCCATAGGTGTGGATTTTTTAAATATATTTTTTCAAGGACTTTCAAAGCCATAGATAGGCGTGGATTTTTTAAAGAATATTTTTTAAAGGATATGCATGGCATAGGCGTGGATTTTTTAGAGAATATTTTTTTGAAGGACCATCCATGGCATAGGCGTGGATTTTTTAAAGAATATTTTTTGAAGGACCATCCATGGCATAGGCGTGGATTTTTTAAAGAATATTTTTTGAAGGACCATCCATGGCATAGGCGTGGATTTTTTAAATATATTTTTTCAAGGACTATCATAGGCCTGCATTTTTTAAAATATATTTTTCAAGGACTATCATAGGCCTGCATTTTTTAAAATATATTTTTTTAACGAACTATCACCATAGGCGTGGATTTTTTAAATATATTTTTTTCTAGGACTATCATCGACCCTACGCGTGGATTTTTTAAAGAATATTTTTCAAGGATTATCATAGCCATAGGCGTGGATTTTTTAAAGAATATTTTTCAAGGATTATCATAGCCATAGGCGTGTATTTTTTAAAGAATATTTTTCAAGGATTATCATAGCCATAGGCGTGGATTTTTTAAAGAATATTTTTCAAGGACTATCCAAACCTTAATCGCGGATTTTTTAAATAATATTTTTCAACGACTATCCAATATTTTTCAAGGACTATCCAAACCTTAATCGCGGATTTTTTAAATAATATTTTTCAACGACTATCCAATATTTTTCAAGGACTATCATAGCCATATGCATGGACATTTTTTAAAGAATATTTTTCAAGGACTGTCTAAACCTTAATCGCGGATTTTTTAAATAATATTTTTCAAGGACTATCCAAACCTTAGGGGTGGATTTTTTAAAGAATATTTTTCAAGGACTATCATAGCCATAGGCGTGGACATTTTTTGAAGGATATTTATCGAAGAATTATCCAATATTATAAGAGAATAATAAATAATAATGAAAATTGCTCACTTACCATATTTCTTAATCAATTTGCTCATCATTTTGTTTCTTGAATGTTGAAAGAATTCTTGATCCCCGTACACAAAATTTCCCCCAAAAAAAGTAGTGATATTGCTTCAAACTTGACTAAGATAAAAGTTCAAGATAATTTTCTCCAAAAAATAATGTTTTTCTTATATAAACTTTTTTTAGAAATAATAATATTCAAATCAAGATTTTTTTGCAAAATTTAGATAAGATTTTTTAAATTGCTTTGCAAATAGTTTGGAATTTTTATGAAGATTGCTTTTGTTGTTGAATTTTTTCAAAATGTGTTGAATCAATATTGAATTTTCTGTTTTATTATTTAAATGACACAAATTGTGGTGACAGTTTTTTCAAAGTATAGTAGGTGTCAAGGTTTATTATTTATGCAGAGTAGAATTTTTATTAGTGTAGAGGAAATATGAAAATATTTATTTAACTGTAAAAAGTATAATTTTTTACTAGAACTGCATTAAAGAAAAATTAATTCATTTTATTGTCATTTTTCAATGAGCACCCAAAAAGTTGAGTTGAGTTGTGTTACTTATATCCACAAAGGTAGTTGGGAAATTCACCGAATATTTTAAATGTCCTCATATCTTAAAAAAACCTCCCAAAGTCCTTAACATACATTCTATACTTCTATATTTAAATAAAGATTACTTATTCCATTTTTTAATTTTGAATTTTATTTATAATGAGATTGACTATAGTTTCATTTCATTTTTTTATACGTTTCTTTTTTTACTCGTCAATGATTATTTATATTTCTTTCTCTTGTCCTTATATATTTTTTTTTTTTGGAGTAATGAGTATTTATTTCTTAATTATAGTCATTAAGTTTATTATATTTTTTTATTTTCTATTCATTTGTATTATAATTAAAACATTTTAATCTTATGCGATAGATTTATCATTAAAAATAACAATTAACATTTGTTTAGATTTACTTTTTTAAACTAAATGAATAAAATAATTCCAAATTATCACAAATCATTATTATTATTGTTGTGTAGTGTTGGGGTTTATGTTTTAACACATCTTTTAAAAATTATTTATGGTTTTCAAGTCAATAATATGAGTTACTTATAAATAAATTTACATTTTACAAATTAACAATTATTGATGATAAATATTAATAATTATTTAACATTTCTCCATATTCACTTTTTTAATATGAAATTAATGTTTAATAAAAAAGGTTTAACAATAATTGTGTCTTAACAATTGATTTTGAATTTTCGTGATTTTTTGTTTTTTTAATAATATTTTGATAATCATTATTTATTTTTCCAACTTCTTTAAATGCATAATACATATAATATTTATTTTTTTAATAAATTAAAAAACAAAATCAAAATATTTTTAATAAAAAATAGAGACTAACAATTTATATATTCATATACAAGTAAATATAAAGAAATTACACTAACTGAATTTTAACACACAATTGTTATTAAAAATACAGGATTATATAAAAATATGTTTAAATACATTTTTGAAGGACCATCCCTTAGGCGTGGATTTTTTAAAGAATATTTTTGAAAGACCTTCAAAGGTGTCAATATTTTTCAAAGACTATCCCAACCATAGGCGTGGATTTTTTAAAGAATATTTTTCAAAGACTATCTAAACCATAGGCGTGGATTTTTTAAAGAATATTTTTGAAAGACCTTCAAAGGTGTCAATATTTTTCAAAGACTATCCCAACCATAGGCGTGGATTTTTTAAAGAATATTTTTCAAAGACTATCTAAACCATAGGCGTGGATTTTTTAAAGAATATTTTTCAAAGACTATCCCAACCATAGGCGTGGATTTTTTAAACAATATTTTTCAAGGACTATCCCAACCATAGGCGTGGATTTTTTAAAGAATATTTCTCAAGGACTATCCATGGCATAGGCGTGGATTTTTTAAAGAATATTTTTCAAGGACTATCCAAACCTTAGGCGGGGATTTTTTAAAGAATATTTCTCAAGGACTATCCATGGCATAGGCGTGGATTTTTTAAAGAATATTTTTCAAGGACTATCCAAACCTTAGGCGGGGATTTTTTAAAGAATATTTTTCAAGGACTATCCAAACCTTAGGCGTGGATGTTTTAATGAATATTTTTAAAGGACTATCCATGGCATAGGCGTGGATTTTTTTATGAATATTTTCAAGGACTATCCAAACCTTAGGCGTGGATGTTTTAATGAATATTTTTAAAGGACTATCCATGGCATAGGCGTGGATTTTTTTATGAATATTTTCAAGGACTATCCAAACCTTAGGCTTGGACTTTTTAAAGAATATTTTTCAAGGACTATCCTAACCTTAGGCGTGGACTTTTTAAAGAATATTTTTCAAGGACTATCCAAATCTTAGGCGTGGACTTTTTAAAGAATATTTTTCAAGGACTATCCAAACCATAGGCGTGGACTTTTTAAAGAATATTTTTCAAGGACTATCCAAACCTTATGCGTGGACTTTTTAAAGAATATTTTTCAAGGACTATCCATGGCATAGGCGTGGATTTTTTAATAAATATTTTGCAAGGACTATCCATGGCATAGGCATGGATTTTTTAATGAATATTTTTAAAGGGTATTTTTATATACAAATAATCGTAATTAAAAAATAAATCTAACTTAACAAAATTAATAAATTTGTGTATATGTATTTGTAATTTAATTTTAATACACTTTTCGTTTTTTGTTATTTGTTTATTTTTCAATCAGTTTCTTCTTAATAATAAACATTGAATTTCTTCAGAGTCGAATATCATTTAAAATATTTATTTTATATTTTCATTATTTACCTTCATTTTCAACTTTTGTAGAAGTTTGTTGTTTTTGTTATTTTTTATTTAATAATAATTGCATGGATTTGTATTTGTTGTGTGGGCCTCTGGGTGTGTTTGTGTGTGCTTAATTAAATATTGTACTTAATATACGATACGTCGATTTAATTTTTATCCCCACCGCCACCATTATTTTTATATGGTTATAAAGCCAATCAGGGATTTGATGAGCATTGCCGTTCTTCTCGCTGCCATTTCGGTCGTTTCACGAACACCATCGCAATTAATCGGTGGCCGCATAATAAACCACTGTAGATTTACGACGAAAACCCAAATTGAAAAATGATGTTTCAGATTTTTTACGTTCATGTTCGTGATCATTGCCAAAATATGAAAATAAACGGCCACCACCACTGCCAACTGGAGGAGCACGTATGCTGCTGCCATGACTGCTTGTAGCATGATGTACAGATCCGCCACTGCTGCCTGCCAGGCCAGCTGTAGCTGTTCCAACAATACCAGGTATGCCAATACTACCGCCACCGGTGGACGATAGCGATAGACTGGAATATAAATGACCATGTCCAAGGCGTTGATGATGCCGGCTACTGCTGGCTGGTGTTGTTGTTGTTGTGGTACCTGATGCATTATGATGATTGCTTTGGTGTTGTTGTTGTTGGCTGTGCTGCTGTTGTTGCAGAAAACCGGTTGGCGACAAATCAGTCATCTCACACGGCCAGAGGGTGACCGAAGATGGGACCTTATGTATCCCGTCCGATAATCGATAATGGTGGGATGATGACCGGCTAACGAACCGTGGCGAGGACCTCGACCCCATCTGTGATAATTTTTTAATTTTTTGATTTTTTTGGGAAAATATAAATTGAGAAATAATTAAATATTAGTAAAAATGTTAATTAATGTAATTAAAGAATGTTAGTAATCTAAATATTTGCAATAGAATGTTAGAGCCCTAATAATGCGGAAATTAAGCATGTTGAAATAAGTTGCGGATTAAAAGAGGATATTTTTTTAAGGACAATCACAGCCATTGGCGTGGATTTTTTAAAGAAAATTTTTGAAGAACCATCCATGGCATAGGCGTGGATTTTTTAAAGAATATTTTTCAAGGACTGTCAATGACATAGGCGTGGATTTTTTAATGAATATTTTGTGAAGGACTATCATAGCCATAGGCGTGGATTTTTAAAGAATATTTTGTGAAGGAACATCCATGGCATAGGCGTGGATTTTTTAAAGAATATTTTTTGAAGGAACATCCATGGCATAGGCGTGTTTTTTTAAAGAATATTTTTTGAAGGACCATCCATGGCATAGGCGTGGATTTTTTAAAGAATATTTTTTGAAGGACCATCCATGGCATAGGCGTGGATTTTTTAAAGAATATTTTTAAAGGGCTATCCTAGGCCATATGGATATGATAGGCGTGGATTTTTTAAAAAATATTTTTAAAGGGCTAACCTAGGCCATATGGATATGATAGGCGTGGATTTTTTAAAAAATATTTTTAAAGGGCTAACCTAGGCCATATGGATATGATAGGCGTGGATTTTTTAAAAAAATATTTTTAAAGGGCTAACCTAGGCCATATGGATATGATAGGCGTGGATTTTTTAAAAAATATTTTTAAAGGGCTAACCTAGGCCATATGGATATGATAGGCGTGGATTTTTTAAAAAATATTTTTAAAGGGCTAACCTAGGCCATATGGATATGATAGGCGTGGATTTTTTAAAAAATATTTTTAAAGGGCTAACCTAGGCCATATGGATATGATAGGCGTGGATTTTTTAAAAAATATTTTTAAAGGGCTAACCTAGGCCATATGGATATGATAGGCGTGGATTTTTTAAAAAATATTTTTAAAGGGCTAACCTAGGCCATATGGATATGATAGGCGTGGATTTTTTAAAAAATATTTTTAAAGGGCTAACCTAGGCCATAGGCGTTAAATTTTTAAAGAATATTTTTAAAGGACCATCCTAGGCCATATGGATATGATAGGCGTGGATTTTTTAAAGAATATTTTTAGAGGACTATCCTAGGCGTTAAATTTTTAAAGAATATTTTTAAAGGACTATCCTAGGCCATATGGATATGATAGGCGTGGATTTTTTAAAGAATATTTTTAAAGGACTATCCTAGGCCATATGGATATGATAGGCGTGGATTTTTTAAAGAATATTTTTAAAGGACTATCCTAGGCCATATGGATATGATAGGCGTGGATTTTTTAAAGAATATTTTTAAAGGACTATCCTAGGCCATATGGATATGATAGGCGTGGATTTTTTAAAGAATATTTTTAAAGGACTATCCTAGGCCATATGGATATGATAGGCGTGGATTTTTTAAAGAATATTTTTAAAGGACTATCCTAGGCCATATGGATATGATAGGCGTGGATTTTTTAAAGAATATTTTTAAAGGACTATCCTAAAGAATATTTTTCAAAGAATATTTTTCAAGGACTATCCATGGCATAGGCACTGATTTTTTAAAGAATATTTTTCAAGGACTATCGTAACAATAGGCATGGATTTTTTAAAAGATTATTTTTCAAGGACTATCCATGGCATAGATGTGGTTTTTTTAAAGAATATTTTTAAAGGGCTATCCTAGGCGCTAAATTTTTAAAGAATATTTTCAAGGACTATCCATGGCATAGGCACTGATTTTTTAAAGAATATTTTTCAAGGACTATCGTAACAATAGGCATGGATTTTTTAAAAGATTATTTTTCAAGGACTATCCATGGCATAGCTGTGGATTTTTGTAAAGAATATTTTTAAATGACTATCCAAGTCAAATAACAGGATTTATATTGTACTTATTCCCAACTTATTTCAACATTTTTCTTAATTAGTTTTGTTTTTTTTTTAACTACATAATTGTTCATGATTTTGTTTGCATTTAATTTCTAATTGTATTCTCATACATTTGCATAATTTTTTACTGATTTTTTTTATTGTAGTTTACTGATAAGTTAAAAAAATTAAATATATAATACAAAAGTTCTTAGAATAGAGGTGATGAAGAGTATAGTAAATTATAATGAAAACGAGTCAAGGAAGTAAATCTAAATAAAATTTTCTGTTTTTTTTTTCAAAGCAGTGAACTATTTTGAAAGCGCGTGTTCAGTTGATATTTTTTGTAGAAAATTGGAAACCATAAAATTTAAAATAATTTTAATTTTGTGCCATTAAAGCGTTATAAAAACAACTGTCTAATTTAAAATATTTTGCAATCAGAATGTTAAGCTTTTGGGCTTCAAGGCTGTAAGAGATGTAGTTGGTGTTACGCAAACTGGATATGTTGATGTGGGGATAGAAGAAGAAGCAGCAGCAGTAGCATTAGCAATAGTTTAGATTCAAAAATAATGCGTTACAACTTTACAATAATATTTTACTAGTGGACAGTTAGAGAGATAGAGCTCGAAAGAGAATTACAGTTAGATAGGACTACAAATTACATAGTACAAAATAGCTTACACATATACTATTATCATTCGAGAGTTTACAATTTGTTTAGAGTTTCAGAAAATAGTAGGGAAGGTTCAAGAGATTTATATTTTACAGTTGGAAAATTGTGACACTACTCTGTATTTTATTATTTTACGTTTTTTTTAAAGAGCTTGGTTGAACTTTGATCTTAAAAATATGATAGGCATAATAGATATTTATTAATAAAATTCTCAAAATTTATTGTTCACACATAACAATACCTACTGGCAATTTGATTACACCATTATTCTTTACAATGTTTCGAATAAAGTAATCCGCAAAAAGACTATAATTGATATGTTCGGTTTTTTAGTTGGTCTAATTCCTATTGTCTCTGTAGTTCCTATTGTTCAGTAGTTCTAATCTTTCATCTATATTTTCCCGTTCATTGGTCGAATTAACTGACGTGTACCCATAAACAATTGAACCACATGTAAACTAGTTCCTTTTGCGGAGGAACTAGTTTACATGTGGTTTCGTAAGATTCGATGTTCTGTTCTGCAATATTGCACAGATTTTTCTACTACCTTTGGGATGTTTGACATTATTAAAAAGGTTTAGGACCTTTATAGAAAATTATGTCGAAACATGGACCTATATTGAACATTTTCTACTTAGATGTCTTTCACCGTCCAAGAATACGGAATCTAAAATTTAAAAGAAAATTTGCTGAGAACCATTGAAGCAACATTAATGGGTGGGACATTTTCTAAAGGTGGACACAATTCTCAAAATACCGAAAATTGTGGGTACAGTGATTTAGAGACTACACCAAAACGTGGATTTGTATATTTACAAATGTCCGTCTGGCTGGCTAACTGGTGCGTACGATAATTCTCAAATGGAGTAACCGATTTTATTCAAACTGTGCGCATAGTAATATTTCTTCTAAACTTTAATCATATTCGAATATCGCTCCCCTCCTTCTGGTACTTTTCATACAAAATGTGCAACATTTTGCTGAAAATTAAATTGTTTAATATTGTGCGAAGGGACTTTGCACAACCTTTTATCTTTACCAAACATAGATCAAGTCCGAAGATGGACCCCTTGGTCCACTCCTTCTGTCACGCCCCCCCCACAAATTATCTAAATTGTTAATGGAATGACCGAATTGATCCAAAATATGCACATCGTAACATTCTTTCAAAGTCAAATTTTGTCCGAATATGGGAAAAAATCGGTACCTCACACACAAAATGGTCCAAATAATGCTGAAAATGCATTTTGTAATATCATGCGAAAGGACTAACCGAGTCTGGTTCAAAGTTTGGTATGTTGTAGGTTTTGGGTAGGTCCATGTTGTAATTTTCCTGTCCGAAATTTCAATAATAATAATAATCATAATAATAATCATACTGGACCCATATTTTACGTAGCTCACCTATAAGGGTATAAAAATTAGGCACAGTAGAATTTAACCGTTTTTTTTTTTTTGTTTGGGGTTTCATATTATAACCAATAAATCTTAAGATATGGTCTTGAAATTTGGAACAGATATTGCTACTACTCTTGTGATGTTTGGTGTTGAAATTAGGGGTACCATGATATGGACCCCCATACTTTTTCACAGAATATTTTCAACATATGCCTCCAATGGATCCAGCCCATTTTCGTATTTTGAAGATTCTAGGCGAAATTTCTGTCGGGTAATTCTCCTGTCTGAAATTTGATACTTATTTTCAAAGAGAATAATTATCCTCATGGGTTCACGTTTTTGGCATATCACCCCTATAAGGATACCGAATGAATTAGGGTATAACAAGTTCGGCATTCTCGAATTTAACCGCATCTGTGCTTGTTTGGGATTTGTATTATAACTAATAATTAATCAAATAGGATCAAAAACTGAATTCGATTTTATTTTCATATTCGTTACGATCATTCTTTGTGGATTTTTTTCCTGTTACTCCTTTTGGGAGCAAAGGACTTTAACAAAGAATAGCCATCTTACTTGGTTAGCTGCCGTTGGTTTTGCATCTTCCCATGTAAGAATATTTTGTCTTAATTCTTGGATTATTGTTCGCCGTCAGGTGTTTCGATTTCTTGATCCCTGGGGATTCCATTCGAGAGCCATTCTGGTTATGCTATGGACATTTTTTCATAAGATCTGGCCAATCCATCTCAATTTCCTAGGTTAAATTTGCTTTTATATGGGTTCCTGGTCCATTAGATTCCACAGCTCTACATTACTTGTGATGTT